AACTTCTCCATTTACCATCAGAACCATAATATCATCAAAGTTCAACTTCGAAGTCCTTGAAGAATTACTCACTGTCGTTACTAAGTCATCCAACTTTCTAACAATGAAGATAGTATCACCAGTGCTCTGATCTCATCATCAAACTTGATTCCTATAGAACACAACTAGCTTGTCATAATGTTAAAGTTATTTAGATGCTTTGCCACTGAATTGCCTTACACATTCTTAATATCGAATAATTTCTTCATCAAAAAACCTTATTGGAAGCAGATGATTTTTTGTACTTATTGGAAGCAGATGTTTTTTTGTACAACTTGGTCAGTGCTGCCATGAGATCCACCGTAGTTTTCTCATTTACAAAGTTAAGCGCAATATATTGGAAAAGTGTCAACCTGATCAGTATTAGTACCGTTCGATCCAACACCTACCATTCCTCCATAAGCATATACTCAGGCTTCCTTGTGATTCCTTGTAGTGGCAAGTACAATTTTTTTTATACAACAAACCCTCACATGCATCTTTCAGAAAGTGAAGTTCCTCCCATTGAACTTCTCTATTTAGAACTTAGCTTCTTCAGTCATTGCTCCCACTCGAATCAAACCCCGCCCTGATACCAGTTTGTTAGGAAAAACTATTAGAAATGAGTTTTCTTTTAATTTTATCACGGAATAAGATCACAAGATTTGGGAAAATCATAACAAAAATTTAAACACAAAAGTACAATCAAAGCAAACAGAAAGCGCACAAGGATTTTACGTGGAAAACCCCGAGAAAAGGAAAAAACCACGGAGTCACACAACCACAAAATCAATTATGAAATTCATAAATTTTTACAAGAGACTCACATAAGTTTCTTCTCCATACTCACATGAAGAAACTTACAGGACATGCGCTGATAATTTTCCCTCTTTGACCTGACACAAAAAATCACACTGAATCACTGAAATCCACCTCTTCGACACTCCTCACCTTCATCAGGATACTATTTAAAGAATTCAGAAAGAAGAAAACAACAAGCTCACTGATCCACGCTAAAAAAATTGGCTTAAAATTTAATTTTTTGTCTAGTAATCGCATCGGGCGCTTAGGTGCCCAAACTTGGCTCTTAAGCACCAAGCGTTCTGTATCGGCGCCCCATAATGAGCGCCTTGGCGCCAATCGACTGATTCTAATTTGCCGATCTCTCGGGAATAAGAGCAACACTCGCTCTATAGCGGGTGTGTATGTGTTAGGCACTCGCTCCTAGGTTTGAGCAACACCCAAGTGGGTACTTAAGCTCTCACAACCCGACACATATGTGTCGGGTGCCTTGTGCATAGGCTCCACAACCTTACACACATAAGCAAGCAAAATCAACACAACTTACACATAACCATGCAAATTAACAAAACATATGCATAAACATGCAAATCAACATAACTTACAAACATACCTGCAAATTAACACATGCACATATGCTTGTAAATTAACACATACACAAATACTTATAATCTAACACATACACACATACTTACAAATTAGCACATACATGCTTGCAAATTAACATATTATAAATATGTAAAGCACAACCTAAAAATTTATGCCTGAAGATAACATAACATAAACATATAAGCATAAAAATAACATAACCTAAACATGTGAGCTTGTAACTAACATAACCTAATTATGCTTTCAAATAAATAGCCTATACATGACACGTGAAAGCATATAACTACATATGATAGGTAAACATGGAAATAGTTGAACAACATAAAACATAAGCAAGAATATATGTAAATCACAGTATACATAGATTTGAAAGTGAAATACATGCAAAATACATGAATTTGAAAGAAAAATACACACATGCTACATGAATTTGAAATTAAAATATACACTTTCTACATGCATTAGAAAGGAAACTATTCACATGATACTTGAGATATGAAAAAACCCTTTCAACATACAACCTCATCAAGGTTAAATGATATATATAAGAATTTTTTTAGACATACATTTATAGAAATTAAGTGATTAACACGCTTTATAATCAAATTTATATGATAATTGATTAGTCTATACCGTGTTTGTTTGAAATACCCAAGAATGTGATGATGTGAGTTTCGACCAAGGGAAGATAGAGGGGAAGAAGTGGTGGGAGAGGGGCTCGCGGTATAGAGAACTAGACAGGAGACATGGAAGAGGGCTTGGTTTGGAGAAATGAAGAAGACAACTGTTAGATGACTCACAGTTTGGTGAAAAGGTGAGGAGAAATAGGAGAGGAGAAATGGGAGAGGGGCTTTCAATTTTGAGAATGAGAAGAGGAGAAATAGAAGAGGGACTTGCAATTTTGGAATGAGAAGATAAGGAATGGAAGAGAGGCTCTCAGTTTTGGTAATGAGAAGAGGAGAGGACTCTATTATTGGGAAGGAGAAGAGAGGAAGAGGGAGGAGGATGCAATAGGCTCAAGAAGAATGAAGGAGAGGAGAGGGGCTTCTAATTATAGAAGAGGGCAGTGGTGAGTTTCGGCCAAGGGAATTGTGGAAGTAGAGGGAAGAATTGGGGAAGTGGAGGGAAGAAATGGGGAAGTGGGAGAGAGAGTGGGTAGAATTGGTCAAGGTTGACTTAATAAAATGAGGGACAAAAGGTGCTAGGGCCACTAAATGGGCCAAAGGTAGTGTGAGCCCCACTATAAAGGAAAGATAGGTGGAAGTATGGGTCCCACCTTAAAAGAAAGAGACAAATCAAAATAGAATTATATAAAATTTTAGTGGGGGTTTTGATAAGTTCTTAATTAATTTAATTTAATTTTTCTTAATTTAAATTTGCTTTATTTTAATTTGATCTTAATTAGTGTTCAATTTGTTGGTATTATCATGATTATTATTATTATCATTATCGTTCTAATTATCATAGTCTTAATGCACCCTTAAATGTAGTCTAATTTGGACACAATTAAACTCATTTGAAAGATTTTGACGATTTTGACACATTTGCAAAATCTATTTTGTAAAATTATGCTCCGAAGAATAATTTTTTTGTATGACTAAATTTCATGCATAAAAACTCGAAGTACAAAATTTTATGTAAAAATGGTGTTAGTTCATCATTAAACTTGTATTTTTTTTTCAAACATAATAATGATTGTCATGTAGCTTATGGAATGAAATTTCAACAACTACAATGTGCTTGGAGACTACGATAATTTTGGGATCTATCTGAATCAAGATGAATTTATTTCAAATTTTGATTTCAAATTAAGTTGATTGAATTATATTTACATTTAATTTGGTTAATTTTAATTTTGGTTCAAGTAAAAGTGATATTTATATTTAAATTTAGTCAGTTTCAATTTTTAGCTTAAGTGAAGCCCAAGTCCCACCTGAGTCGAATTTAACCCAACAACATAGTGACACTGGGAAGGGGTCGTAGGTCTAGATAGAATTTGAATGTGAATTAAATAAGAGTGAAAGTGAGAGAAAGGGGGTGGGTGAGAGAGAGAGAGAGAGAGAGAGAGAGATGACTAAAAATACGATTAACACTAGAATTGCTTTGTAATTTTCTACTTCTTCATTAGCATTCTTTTATCATGAAAACTCAGTGCAAAACATCTGGTCCATAATATTTGAATGTTTGAGGTGTCCCTTTTTTTATAGATTTTTTTTCTTTGTATATAGGTTTTGTCAAAGAAATGAACCTTTGATTATCAAAAGAAAGATGAGATTAAGCTCATTCTTTATCACATTGATCTTGTTAAAATTTCTGATTTTTTTCCTGCCCTACTCTACCTTGCATAGTTGTAGGAGATGATGGCGGTGTAGGGTACTAACCCTTTTTTTTTTTTTGCTTAATTTTATTCTTCAAATAAATGAATCCATTTATTTTTTTTTCAATTATATGATTGATTTCTATTGAAGTCCACATCTCAGCTCACATATAGCTTTCTTGTTATTGGACCAAAGAGCATGTGTGGCTTTGACCTTGCATAACAATAACAAGTCTTTATCTCACTAAGTGGGGCCGGCTACATCAAGCCTTTTTCTCCATTGTGTCATATTGATGTCATATTGCATTTAATTCTAATTAATTATGATCATTTTTTAAATAATATGCCCCAAGTCTTTTTAGGCTTACCTTTGCCTTTCTTCACAAAATTTGAATCCAAAACATCTGTTCTCTTAACCACATCATCAGATGGTTAACGTTTAATATGACTAAACCATCTAAAACGACTCTCTAATCTCGTTCGCCACTATAGCTACACCAGTCCTATCACGGATAAATTCATTTCACATTTTGTCTCTAAGTGTCGAGCCACTCATCCACCTAAGCATTCTCACCTCGATAACACTCACGTTTGTTTTGTGCTTTTCTTTTAAAGGCCAACATTCTGTGTCATAGAGCATTGCAAGTCTTAATATAATAGGTGCCTTGGTATAATATTTTATTTTTTATCTTTAAAAATTCTCACTTATAAATAAGTAGCCCAGGGTCAAGTACAAGCACCCAAAAATTGTGTTTTTGTACACACTTTTGAAAGAAATGAAGGACTAGCATAACTTTTTTTCTTCAATTGACCTTGAATAAAATTTCAATAAATTCCACCAAATATTCCTGGATCCAACCAAGGCCTATAAGCTATAAAAGGGCGATTCACATATATAACACATAATTTCTATATAGTTACATATTTAATATCCAAATTTTTATATCCATTTATACAATAGTCAAAATTTTAACTTCACATTAAAAAAAAATCACTAGCATTAATTTTTCTTTAGTGAAAAACACCTTTTCATGCATACATTATGTTGTGATTATTGCACTAAAGTGCTGTGTGACTAAATATCAAAATCAAGATATTAAATATGCAAATACATGATATGTATGGCCCAAAAAAAAATACTTAGAACATCTCCAGTTAATTTTTATAAAGTAATAATTGGGTTCATATAAATTAGTTTTTAATGTTTTATAAACAAAAAACTTAGGTTCATATATGTTTTTATTTTTTTGTGCAGGTTTGACTAGTCTAGAAATCCATTTCCTTCAGATAAAGCATAACGCAATTGGGATTTACATAGAAAAAGATGTCACTCAGCATCTGGGGAACTGGAAAGGCAAAAAGAGAGCTGAGCTTGAAGACGATAACCTCTTCTTTGATGCTCTTGTCTCAGGTCGGATTATAAATGATCATTTAATCATTTACAAGAATAAACAATTCATTTCTTTTATTTTCTTGTCTGTATCTTCCTCAGCTCCCGTGGAGAAACTTTTTAGAATTGTGGTGATAAAGGAGATCAAGGGTTCACAATACGGCGTACAACTAGAGGGCGCCATAAGAGATCAGTTGGCAGCAGCTGAGAAATATGAGGAGGAGGAAGAAGAAGCACTTGAGAAAGTTGCAAAGTTCTTTCAGACATTGTATTTGAAGAAAGATTCTGTCATCACTTTTTATTTTCCTGCAACTTCTTCTACAGCTGAGGTAAGAACCTCTGAAAATTTGGAAAAATTTTCTGTCCGGACATAGCTTGCGTGCGGAATTTAATAATATGCTGCCACGTGTGCTACATCGTGAGGTTGTTTCGAGGATATTAAAGTAAAACTGCAGATGTTTTTCACGGTTATTGAAGAGAAACCTATATATTTCACTTCAATAACACTGAAATAACCTAGAAATAATCCCGAAATAACCTCCTCGACCACTTCAATAACCCTGAAATAACACATTGGAGATTATTTCAGGGTTATTGAAGTGAAATATTTGGATTTCTCTTCAATAACCTTAAAATAACCTCCGCGATGTTATTTCGGGGTTAATGAAGTTGAACCGCGAAGGTTATATCAGGTTATTGTGGAGTTGCGATTCCACTTTAATATTGTTTTAGGTAGGCCTAATATAACACACATAATGGTATATTACTGGTACTCCGCACGTAGAGCTATGTCCGGAGTCCCGACAGAAAATTTTTCGTTTTCATATAACAAATCAATGAAAAGTCTTAACATAAAATCATTTTATTAATCAATTTAGTTAACTTGTTTCTTTTTGGAAGATTTACATACATACCACTTAACTTGTATGTATTTTCATATTTAACATCTAAATATTAATTTCTACATATATACTTTCATATGAATGCATGAAAAGGTGTATTTTTTATGTGAAATGAAAGACTTTGAGTGCTATAAATGAAAAATGGAAAATTTAGATGCTAGACCTGTAACTACATACAAGTTGAGTGGTACGTAGCCTATGGGTATTTTTACATACAAACCCCACTGTTTTTTTATAATTTTTATTTTTGTTGTCAATTTGCAGATAACATTTAGCACAGATGGGAAAGGTGAGAGCATGGTTGAAGTGGAGAATGCAAATGTAGTGGAGATGATGCAGAAGAGGTACATCGGAGGATCGATGGCCATCTCCCCCTCTACGGTTAAGAATTTGGCTGACAAATTTGAAGCAATCTTGTCCCAATAGTTTCATTTATTTATTTAGTTCCTATCTAGAATATGTCATATGTTGTCTATTTTAATTATGTTTTTGTAGGTTTGTCTTAATGCTGCTTTTATAACTTCAATAAACGAGTTGATATTGGGCTTTCAAATGGTCACTGCATGGGAATTATGTCGCCAAGTATTTGAATAAATAATTCAATAAACGCATTGATATTAAGTCTTCAATTGTTCTCATAAATTGCTCATAGGCTGCTGTTGAAGCCATAGTATCTGAACAATAAAAAATCATAACGAGCCAGGCAATGACTCATTTATGTTAGTAATTAATTTGGTTTGAACTGTTTTATAAATTAGTTTATTTATGTTCATGAATAAAAATTTATTTATTGTTTGGAGGATAATTTGTTTAATATATCTTCTAAATATTTATTCAATCAATAAGAATTTTGGTGCAACTTCACAATTTTAAAGCACCTAAAAATTTGAGTAAAAAAAATTTCTAGTACAACTTTGGAACTGTCAATTTTTTTTAATTTTCACTATGAAAAACCAAAGATGTACAAAAATATCAACTCAGATCTCTCTACAATCAATTGAACTTACAGGTCCTTTGAAATCTTCCTCCTCAACAGTTCTTTCCTTCACGAGAACCATATCGAAACATCGCACATGAGAGTCATAACCTTTCATCACTTGAATTGAAAGCTCTAAACTAAATCAAAAGAGAGAACCACACTTATTGCACTCACACCACTCCTTGATGTGAGAGTGGCGCGCTCTAGGGAACCAGGCTCATATGCACCCAAAATGTGACGTATGGTCACTACAGACTCTAACACGAGCACTCCCCATATGGGGAAGGGAGAACCGTGCTTTCTATCTACATGCACAGGGTTATTGTCTCTGTGCTGAGCAAGAAACCCTTCTGATTGCTCCCTTCTTCTACCAATCAAGATTCATATACAAAAATCTCCCACTAGGAGGCTGTTTTGCACCTCAACATCTCTTCACCTTATTTGCACCTTCATTTATACCATTGTCATGTTCATGTATTGTGGTGTAGCTCATCTACAGTCTCAACCTTCATGGACTCCAACTGAAGCCAAGCATAGTTCCAATTTTTTGATAGTTACCACCTTCGTCAACATTTCTATAGGATTCTGAGCTGTGTGTATCTTCTTCAAGAACTATTGCCCATCTTCTATGAAAGAGCATGCAAAGTGATACCTCAGCTAAATGAGCTTTATCGTGACATGGAAAGATACATTCTTAGCAAAATAAATCACATTCATACATGAAGTTTTCCAATCCCTTGCTCCTTATCCAATTATGCTTTAAAGCCTTATAGCCAAGTTATCTCCTTGTTAGCCTCAGTGATAGCAATGTATTCTACATCTGTAGTTGAAAGTGCAAAAATCTTTTGTAGCTTGAAAAATAAACTTATTATTGTATTCTCCAAAGTGAAGATATACCCTATTGTACTGCTTCAACCATTCATGCTAGATGTGAATCTACAAATTCTTGTAGACCGATCCCTGCACATTCATAGCAAAGTGACTTGTTGATTATTCCTCTCAAATACCAGGATCCACTTCATCGATTCCTAATGATGCCTACACTAATTACCCATGTACTTGTTGACCACTCCCACTGCATATGCAATATCTAATGTGGTATAAATCATAACATACATAAGACATTGAACTATCAAAGAATACAATGTTCTCCCCATCTATGCTTCCTCTTCAACACACTTTGGTGATAACTCCGTAGATAGCTTGAAGTGATTACCTAAGGAGGAGGGGGGGGTGCAAACTAGCATTATCTCAACAATGTTGAACCTTTGTAGGATCTTGTCCATATATTCTGTTTGAGAACACTTTAATATACTTGCACTCCTATCTCTACTGATTCTCAAATCAAGGATCTTTCTGGTTGGACCTAAATCCTTCATCTTGAACTCAATTGATAATTTCTCCTTTAAGTCCCTGATTTCATCATATCTCTTCATGTAATCAACATGTCATCCATATACAAAAGGACCAAGACATAACAATTACAGAAGTGCTTGATGAAATAACAATTGGTTTTCCCTATGCTTAATGTACCCCCTGTCTAATATGAATATGCGAAACCTCATGTAACAGTATCTGAGGGTTTGCTTCAAGCCATAAAGATTCTTCTTCAACCTGCAGACCAAACCTTTTTTTCGTAGAATTTTGTAACCTTGTTATTTCATCATGTATCATTCCTCATCCATACATTCATGTAAGAAATTTATTTTTACATCCATCTTATTCAACCGTTTATCTTCCTTTGCTACTAGACTCAGCGCAACTTTGACAGTGATCACTTACACCACACAAAAAAAATTCATGTGTAGTTTAGTTTGTACTTCTGCTGGAACCCATTCATAATAAGCCTTTATTTATAGCGCCTGCTACTATTCAACTCCTTTTTTATTCTGTAGACCCACTTGTTGTGTAGTACACTTTTATCCTTTGGTAATACTATCAAATATCATGTTCAATTTGACTCCAAATATTGCATCTCATCATCTATAACAAGCTTCGACTTCTTTGAATTTTTAATTTGAGCGGCCCCTCGAAGTACTCTGGTTCACCACTATTAGTTAACAACAAATACTGTAACAAAGGAGAATATATGTGACCGATCTTATCACTCTACTGGACCTCCTAGCTGTAGTAATAGGTGACTAAGAAGCATCTTGTGCTCCATCTAGTTGAAAAATTTATCTTTCTCCGCCCTCTTGATTACTAATGTATTTTATCTCAACATAGTTGGACTCAACAAAAGTAAATAACAAAAAATCCTCAGACCAGCTTCTATCCTTATTGTAAATCTCTATTTCATTAAAAGTGACATCCATGGTCCTAATAACTTTTTTATTTTGATAGTCTCGAAACTTGTACTCAAACTCATCCAATTCATATCCAATGAGGGAACAATTTGTAAGTGTTTACTTTTCAATTTTCCTTGGAATAATGGTTTTGATGGGATATTTTTCTGGTGTTTTTTCTATCATGCTTAGCTAAACTTTCTTTTGTGCCTCTATGTTTTTTGGGATGTGGTTTTGTGATTTTCTCAGCTGGTTTTTTTTCCTATATCATTTTATTGTGGAATCAGGGTTTTTGTTGTTGTTGTGTTAACAATAGATTTCATTAACTCCTGATATGATCAATTAAGATGCTAATATATTTCATGATCTATAACTTTTATCCATTGTACAAAGGAACAAAATGATTAACCACAAAATTCAGATAACAATAAACATATTTTTTTTTGGATTTCGCAACTAAGAAAGGGGGTTCGAACAAATTTGTGGAATGTCATAGAGATTGAGGAAGCCTCAAATTCATGGATTCTAGTTTTCTTTTAACCTAGACACAGGTGTCAGCACTATTTTTGGTGTGGGGTTTGCCCGTAAGAAGCCGTCGGTCATCGGAACTGAAATCCCGTTGCCCGCTTCGGAAGGACGTTAAAAAAATTTAGTTTTGAAAAAGATGAAGTCAAACTGACCCCATAATTTTCATAGTTTAAATGGAAGAGCACTTTACCTCAAATTCTGTATCTATCCCAAAGGATGAATACAAGAATTGAGGGTGAGGCTCGATCAAATAAACTAGAGAAAGTCATGACATCCGTTTGGTCTGCGAAACCAATATATTGGCCGACAAATTCCCCTATTTAATATAAGGAATTAAATAGGGTTTATATTATGCGGGGTTCGGGAAAAGCTTCCTATAAGGGCAAGCCCCCATAGTTAATTACATCTTAG